GGATTGGATACAATTTGTTGTATTTATGTGTGTATCAAAATTTATTTTCGTATATAAACTGTGGGATTTATTTTTACAACTCATTAGAGGTGGTTGCTATTCACGGGTCATTGTGCTCATCCAAATATTTAACATTTTTCAGGGGAGGATCATGGTTAGAAATAAGTCTACAGATAAACAAGGAATTAGAGAAATTGAAAATTTATTTTATTGCAGATCTTCAGGAATAAAAATCTTTTATAGTTTTGAGACAAATGTTTAATTGTTTTGAGAACAATATTGTTTATGTTTAGAATAGTGAATTTTATGATTTAATTATTGTTTTACATGAGTTAAGTAATAATATTAGTGGTGTTTAGTTTATTCCTCTGGTATTCATTAGGTCGATAGATTGGATCACTTTATTATTTGTCTTCCGCTGTATTTTGCATTTATTATGCACAAGTTTAGTTGGTTAAGGCCTTGGTGGCCGGTCTACTACCCACCATATGTGATCTGGGGTGGGGGTGTTACAAAAACCTCCAATGGTTTAATTCGAGAAGAATCTATCTTCAAAACTTCCATAAGAAAGTTCGATACAGTATTCAACATATTCATTTCATTGATAGGAAGATCTTTAAATACAAGATAATAAAACTACATTAATAATTAATTTGGCTCATGATTCAACTATCTTAGTAAGCACCTAGAAAACTACCTAGAAAATATTCTTTCACTAACTCACTTACTAAAATAACTCCCTAATAACTACCTCAAATACTACATAAAAATATATTAAAAATGTGCACAAAACAATTGTTTTCCGAGACATCGTTGGAGTCAATCCCAACTCGTTTGAGTCATCATTATCGAATTTGTTGACATCATTATGTGATATTGTAGTACTAACAATAACCAATGTCTGAAGTCACTTTGTAATATTAAAAATTGAGTATTGACCGTAGAAGATTTATATTTTAAGTAGCAAATTATTTTTTTTTCCTTTTCTTTAATTGTGTAATTTAAAATTAAAATGAATAGATAGAAATAAGAGAGAGGTAAGTGTGGATTAATGATGTTGTCTCACATTTTGGAGTGTGTTGATTGAGTTATTTGGCCTTGGAAGTCGTGTAGAGAATATAATATTTTCAAGCGAATTTTTTTTTGTTTGAATTATGCTTGTATAAATTGAGAATTTAATTTCCTTGTTGTAATATTACATAGAAGGCCTAAATTGCAAATAATGTTCAAACTCTTCTTTCGTGTGTGATGTTATGAGCGACGCGTCTTAATGCCCTCCAAACTATCATATTCCTTTGCACTTAAGATTTCCTATACCTATAGAAACTAATGCCTATGTCTTTAGGTCACTACCAAAGGAAATGACCATTGTTAATTAAAATTTGATTCGTCTGAATTCTCACTTTTTTTTTTTTGGAGTTTTTATATTTTGTGCCGTGAAAATTTTTAAATTTTTTATTTTATACCCTTAAAGATTAAATTTTTTACACTACACCCTCAATATATTAAATATATTACAATATGGCCCTTTTATTAACTTCCGTTATTTTTTTCATCAAAANTATATTACAATATGGCCCTTTTATTAACTTCCGTTATTTTTTTCATCAAAAACTAACCCATTTAATACATTGAGAGTATTAAACAGATAAAAATATGACTTCAATGATGGATCTTGACACAATTGTAAGATTGTTTTATTGTAATTTAGAGTTTACAGGTTCAAGTCGCTCCGCCTGCAGGGATAAAACTGCATGCATTTATTCCTCTCCAGGCTTTATAACAATAAGAGTTTCATGTACTAGATACGCCTTTTAAACAAAAATATGANTACCTAGAAAATATTCTTTCACTAACTCACTTACTAAAATAACTCCCTAATAACTATCTCAAATACTACATAAAAATATATTAAAAATGTGCACAAAACAATTGTTTTCCGAGACATCGTTGGAGTCAATCCCAGCTTGTTTGAGTCATCATTATCGAATTTGTTGACATCATTATGTGATATTGTAGTACTAACAATAACCAATGTCTGAAGTCACTTTGTAATATTAAAAATTGAGTATTGACCGTAGAAGATTTATATTTTAAGTAGCAAATTATTTTTTTTTCCTTTTCTTTAATTGTGTAATTTAAAATTAAAATGAATAGATAGAAATAAGATAGAGGTAAGTGTGGATTAATGATGTTGTCTCACATTTTGGAGTGTGTTGATTGAGTTATTTGGCCTTGGAAGTCGTGTAGAGAATATAATATTTTCAAGCGAATTTTTTTTTGTTTGAATTATGCTTGTATAAATTGAGAATTTAATTTCCTTGTTGTAATATTACATAGAAGGCCTAAATTGCAAATAATGTTCAAACTCTTCTTTCGTGTGTGATGTTATGAGCGACGCGTCTTAATGCCCTCCAAATTATCATATTCCTTTGCACTTAAGATTTCCTATACCTATAGAAACTAATGCCTATGTCTTTAGGTCACTACCAAAGGAAATGACCATTGTTAATTAAAATTTCATTCGTCTGAATTCTCGCTTTTTTTTTTTTGGAGTTTTTATATTTTGTGCCGTGAAAATTTTTAAATTTTTTATTTTATACCCTTAAAGATTAAATTTTTTACACTACACCCTCAATATATTAAATGTATTACAATGTGACCCTTTTGTTAACTTCCGTTATTTTTTTCATCAAAAACTAACTCATTTAATACATTGAGAGTATTAAACAGATAAAAATATGACTTCAATGACGGATCTTGACACAATTGTAAGATTGTTTTATTGTAATTTAGAGTTTACAGGTTCAAGTCGCTCCGCCTGCATGCATCTATTCCTCTCCAAACTTTATAACAATAAGAGTTTCATGTACTAGATACGCCTTTTAAACAAAAATATGACCGGCTTGGACCGACTTATCCTATCTTAATATTCTGTTGGTGCAAATTCATATTGGGAGAATTGAGCAAAAGATTGGTAAAAAAAGGGGTGGACTAGATACTAATTTGACATTTGAGATTATTTGCCCAAAGTATTTGTTCTTATATTCGAATCTCTAACTTTAAAATTATGGATTAAACTATGGTATTGTTCGATGATATATCTCCTTTTTTTGGTCTACCACAAAGTGACACATATAAAGTTATATTGTTTTAATTTATATTATTATTTTCATAATGAATGATTACAAATAATTTAAAACAAGAGTTGTGACCAATAACAATTTTGCTAGTATGGTACTGAAACGTGAAATGGGGCCATTTAGGGGCGTGTTATGAGCTGGGTCGAGCCTAAGGGTTTAGGGTGTAAGCAAGATTGTTTGCTCACCGGGCTGGGCTGGTCTGGGCCTGGGCCAAAATATTTGGCCCCTATCTAATATGTGTCAGCCTGAATCAAGGGTTGGGCTGTATTATTGAAGGATTGGGATGGGCTAGACTAGAGCCAGGCCTGTATAAACACTGATATCCATTTCTAATCAGAAAAAAGCTAATCAATAAATAAACTAGTTGAAGAGAAAATTCTTTTTTGGTTTTGTTTCAGAATGAAAAATTAGATATGACCTGATTATAGGATTTCCGGTCTCTGAATTTTTATTTTTTTTGGTCATGAAAAATAGGGGAGAGGGACGAGCTGTAGGTAATGACCCCCTTGGATGTGACCATACGAGTCTTCCCGATGTGAAACATTCAGTTAGACATAACTACAAATCCTTTTGGAGTCTAAGTAGTAAGAGGTGGGAATCCCGTGAATCAAACCATACTTTGTTATCTTCATGAGAGTCAAAACACAACCATAAAACGGGCATACCTTACCACTAGACCACCAGCTCCAGTTGTTCGGTCTAAGACTCGAGGGAGGAGTTTTTTTTTATGAAACTTGATTACTTAAAATATCATCGTAGTTTTAAACTTATTTCATCGAACTACCATTATGTTATTGAAGGCGTGTTTTAGAAACACGCATTTACATTAAAGTCTTATTTAGTGTAACGTGTTACGTGTGTTTCTCAAACATGAGTTCATAGTAAGAACAATTGATTCCTCATGGGACTGCTTGGTCCTCCTAAGATAAAGACTAGTTCATAATACCCGTTATCATATATATTAAATTCTCCGGTTGTTCTCAAAATTCAGATACCATATGAAAATATATGGTAGTTTGGTAAGCTATTCCCTCCTAGTAATCAAAATCAAATGTTCTTGGCCTTGCTCAATTCAATTCATTTCCACTAGTTTGAATCAGTCCAATAATACACCGATAAGAATCATATAGTCTAAAGTCCCATTACTCGCAATTTCGAATATGTGAACTAGATACATTCTTAATATTTGACATTTTTTGCACAAAGTGTCCACCCTCATTCGAATCACAAGATGTAAAAGTTTAAATTCTATTTTTTTGGTGGGTTTTTAGGTAAGGCTGATAATCAAGTCGAGTTTTGCGAGCTCGACCCCAACTTATCGAGTTCATTTTTTTAAACTAGTCTAAAAAATTATTTAATTTCGACTCGTTTAAAAAATTAACCGAGTTTAAAAAATTGTTTAAGTGTAACTTATTTAAAAAATTAGTCGAGCCTAAAACAAGCCAAACTTAAACTTAACTCGTTTAAAACATGAGTCAAACTTAAATCAAATCTTATTTAAGTTAAGTCTGAATAACTTAACTCAATTATCACTCCTATTTTTGCATTTTTGCATAGAGTAAGCAATCATCTTGAGGAAGTAGATTTGTCCCTTCTCTTTTATGCATTTGTCAGAAAAGCACCTGAACTCAATTGACTATCAACCTAAATGAATCTCATGTCCATGACCTAAATTAGAAGCCAATATAGAGTATCAATGGTCAATGTCCTGCACCCTGTTGGACACATGGAACAAACAAATTATGTTTGGATCTCATTCTACAACCTCACTAACCCATATTAATTTCATAGATAGCACTCCTATTTGCAGGCATTGCCTGTAAAAATAATAAGATATAATAAAATACAAAAAATTTACACATGGTTTGCTATGATGGGTAGAAATTAGAGGTGTGTTACTGAAAATTAACTTTCCAAACCATAGGTAGACCCTTGTTTTACCCATTGAAGAAGTTTTTCACCATCACAAAACTGAAGGAATGGAACCGGGGCAACTATAGTAGGTATGAATTCACCAGCTATTTTCTTAAAAGAAACTAGCTAAAGCAAATTAGATTCACAGCAAGAACAAACGAACTGAAACGGCATTTTTTTTTTTTAGTTTTTTCATCGACAAAATCAAATTCAAATGCAGTAAAACTCTAGTTGAAGCAGCCACAATGACTATCTCACACAACCCCACAACAAACCTTATTCAACCCAATTTGGTCTTGAACCAGATAGACGGATCCTTCTCTTCCCTCCCAACTTTCCAACCACCAAGAAAACCTCAAAAAACAGAACTAAACTCACACAAATCGAACTATAACAAAAAAAAACCATCATGCCGCTCAAACGTCTTGTTTCCTCGAATATTATCTCTTCCCTCAGTATCTGTAGTGAGGGGGCTTGTAAGGACCCTCAATTGGTATACTGATGTAGTCAGCCTGGTCCTTGGTGAGCTTGGTGAGCCGCGCACCTAGCTTTCCTAGGTGGAGAGAAGCAACCTTCTCATCAAGGTGCTTAGGCAATACATAAACCTTCTTCTCATACTTCCCAGTTGCCCTCTCGTTCCACAGCTCAAGCTGGGCGATCACTTGGTTAGTGAAAGAGCAGGACATCACAAAGCTAGGGTGTCCCGTGGCACAACCCAAGTTCATGAGACGCCCCTCGGCCAATACAATGATGCCCGATTTAGTATCTGGGAACACCCACCTATCCGTTTGGGGCTTGATGGTGATTCGCTTCACGCCGGGGTATGTCTCAAGACCTTGCATGTCAATTTCGTTATCAAAGTGACCAATGTTGCAAACAATGGCGTTGTTCTTCATCTTTCTCATGTGGTCTACCATGATGATGTCCTTGTTACCAGTGGTGGTCACAAAGATATCAGCTTCAGAGACCACATCTTCAAGAGTAAGAACTTGGAGGCCTTCCATAAGAGCTTGAAGAGCGCAAATGGGATCAATCTCAGTCACAATCACACGGGCACCAGCTTGCTTCAAGGCAGCTGCACAGCCCTTGCCCACATCTCCATAACCAGCTACAACTGCAACCTTTCCAGCAATCATCACGTCAGTGGCTCTCATCAGCCCATCAGGAAGCGAGTGGCGGCATCCATATAAGTTGTCAAACTGATCGAACCAAAGTCATAGTAAATTGTTAGAACAGGGAAGATGTAGTTTATTAAACCAAAGATCTATAACAAGCCAAACAAGATCTATCAATATTGTATTTAAATCATTGATCAAAGAAAAAGAAAATGCATTTACCGATGGAACCATAGCACGAATCCTTAATAGAGGCCAGTGAACAGGTACTTTACTAAATTAAAATCTAGACCAAGCCAACCAAGATCTATGAATTATTGCCCTTTAAATCATTGTTACAAATCTAATTCCACAACTACAGACAGATCAAAGAAAAAGAAATTGCATTTAATGATGGAATTAGAACACGATTTGTTGACAGATAGCCAAAATAAGAAATCCTTAATAGAAGCCACGCCAACATCAACAAACTCATGCTACATCTGAGATCTAGAACAGAAACAAGGAGATTTATAGAAACAAGGAGATTTATACAACCCGGGAATATCACAGCTAATTTGGCACCAAATATCCAATGCGACAGCCAATTATTTTACGAAGTAATCGAATGGAAAGTTAAGTTACATAAAGGAATTAAATAAGGTGCCGACTTCAGCACAACCAATCACATATGGATGGCTCCATCTGAACAACATAACTGAAAAAAAATCCTATTTGCATTCAATCCTATAAGATTGAGGAGATAAAGTCACTCAATTATAGCTACTATATAACTTGAAATAAAGGTAAAGGTAACATGCTTGAATTAACAACCAGATTATGGGTTTGAACAGAGGAGAGCCACTTCGTACATATTATGGAAATTAGATCTATTCCCAATTCATCCCAATCAATTAACAGGACTAAAGGCTCAATAACGTATAATGAGAAGTTAGATCTACACCCAATCCACATCAAGAAAAATCAATCAAGAGGATTCAATTACGTATAATAAAAGTTAGATCTTTACCCTTTTTAAACATTCAAATTATATGAAGCAAAAACAAAATCGTGTGAAAACCCAGATCTAATCCAAGATGGACATATATAAACAACTAGATATATACCTTGCTCTTGGTGACAGAGTCATTGACATTAATGGCAGGGAACAACAAGGTGCCATTAGCCTGCATCTGGTACAGCCTCTTAACCCCAGTCGTGGTCTCCTCCGAAACTCCAACCAATCTCTCCTTCATCTTGTGATATCTCTTGGGATCCGTCTTCAAACCATCCCTAATAATCGTCAAAACAATCTGAAACTCTGCATTATCAGTAGAATTCGGGTCCGGCACCTTTCCGGTTTTCGCGAATTCTTCCTCGGCCTTCACCCCTTCGTGAATCAACAAAGTGGCATCACCACCGTCATCCACGATGAGGTCTGGCCCACCATCGGGCCCCCAGTCAAGGGCCCGCTCTGTGCACCACCAGTATTCCTGGAGGGTTTCACCTTTCCAGGCAAAAACCGCCGCGCTGTCACGGGCAATTGCCGCAGCAGCGTGGTCTTGGGTGGAGAAGATGTTGCACGAGCACCACCTGACCTCCGCCCCAAGGGCAGTGAGTGTCTCGATGAGCACCGCCGTCTGGATGGTCATGTGGAGGGAGCCAGTGATTTTGGCTCCCTTGAATGGCTGTGATGGGCCAAACTCGGTCCGACACGCTATTAGCCCTGGCATTTCGACTTCGGCCAGCTCGAGCTCCAGCCGTCCGAAGTCCGCCTGGGACATGTCTTTCACCTTGTACTCGCGGCCTGAAGTGGTTTTCTCAACTAGCAAAGCCATTTTCTTGGATTTTTCTCTCTCTAGATCTGAACTCTCTCTCTCTCTCTCTCTCTCTCTCTCCTGGTGTGTAGAAGAGAGTGGGTTGTGGGCGAAGAGGAGTAGAGGAAGAGGAGAGATATAAATAGGTTTTAAAGGTGTTATTTGAACGGTCAGGATTGATTTGAGTGGGTTAAGTCAAATGGAGATTAGGGTTTGGTGGATCTGGGATTTGGTAAAGGTCTTGTTCGTCGGAGTAGGAATCGGAGAGAGACCCTATTACAGCGGAGAGGGGTAAAACACTAAAAATAAATTTTATTATGGGACGTCTAGGTAAAAATTAAAGTAGAATTAAAAATAAGGTAATCATTATGGGCGTGCAAACATCGTCGGTGGGTTAAGGTCTTCCAATGGAATATGCTAACAGCATTTGGTCTGCCATCTATTGTTTTTTCTTGTGGGAAAGGGATAATGACAGGAAATTTAGGTAATTCTATTGAACCTTAAAAATAAAAATATTTGGGTCCCCTAACAAAAGGTATTAATTTTTAAGGTTAAATAATATTTTTTAAATATAAAATTATAGTTATTTAAGATAAATTAATTATGATATTTTAAGATCGACCATATTTTGCTAGTTGCAAATTTTATCTCACAAAATTATAATTTAACCTCAAGAAATTTTAAATTTTGGTATGGTACAGATTTTGGGTATTATAGTCTTCTTCGTCTATTAATCTTAGTTGACTTTTTTTCATTCTTTATCAAATTAATTAATCTAAATTATAATATAATTGTATCATGCCTTGATTGGGGTGATAATCCGGCCAAGTTTTTAAATTTTCAATGAGCTCGAGTTCTAGGTCAAACAAGCTCAATTTTTGAGTTTGAATTCTTGTTCAAACTCGATTCGATTAGTAGATCGTCTCTCCAGTTGATTCATTTTTAAATGATGAACCAAAATTTGAGCTCAGGCTTCACCTCTAAAAAATTACCTTTTAGTGAGATTCAAAGCCTATAATCTGTTAATTAAAAATTGAATATCTTTTTAAGTATTTTTTTTTTTGGGTAAGTATCTTTTTTTAAGTATGTTAAAAAAGCTATTTTGGTTTTTTTTTTCTCAGCCCAAAATTATTTATATGCTATATTACATAAAATAATTATAGATGTGTATATAAACATTTATGTTTGTATAAAGACAATAGATTAAATAAAAAACAATAGATTCGAATCTTAGGTTTTATTGTTTTTATTACTGATGGAATTGGAACTCAAAATACGGCTGCTTGAACCGAAGAATTCAAGGCTTAATGGATATTAATTTTGTGAATGTATGAAGTGGTGAAGCCTGATGGCTCTATACAATGTAACAGAGAAGCAGAGAAGAAACCCGAGTTGGAAAACAAACTAGAACACAGGGATTGCAGTGATTGACCAGTTACCTTCTATCCAATGCTTTTCATCAGTTATAAAGCAGAGAAGATACTCAAGCTAAACGTGACTTAAGGTGTCTCTAGAACAGTTAACTCATCCATTAATCGAGCCCTGGGATGAGCCATCGCTTAATGTCCAGCTCCTGTATTTGGGGAGCTCAACCTAGTCAAATGTCTCAAGCTTGCAACATTACTTCTTTCTTTATGAGGCTTTATTAGATCGTTCCTATTGACTCGTAATGCCTTCGTTTATTTGATCAGATTCCTGCTAGTGATTGATACCAGATTTTAGGGTATCATCAGTGATGATTTGGAAAGAGAAAGAAAAAGTGTAGTGTTTTAGTGGTCGTAATACTAGTGCTAATATTGTAGTTGTAGGATAGATGTGTTGTGGCGAGATTACAATTGTGTTTGGATTAGTGTAGAGAATGGCAATTGGGATCTTGGTGGTGCGGGGTTGTGGGTGGTGGTTGTGGTGGTGCAGGGCCTTTGGGACTGGGGAGGCTATCGGGTTTCGGTGGTGGTGTGTGGCTTACAACAAGGATATCCTTCTTCGAGACAGAGATATCCTCAATTGGAATAGGGACATCCAATCGTGTTAAAAAAATTTCATTCAAAAAACAGAACATCCTTGGTTGGCAATTGGATCATCGTGATGGTCATGTGAGAGGCTCCTGTTTTCAATTTGAATGGAGGTTTAATAGAATTTTAGCATGTAAAGTAATCAAACTTGCAAGTATTGGTGGCCCATGTAAAATTTAAAAAATTTTAGGGGTAAAAGTATCATTCTCACANATGGCTCTATACAATGTAACAGAGAAGCAGAGAAGAAACCCGAGTTGGAAAACAAACAAGAACACAGGGATTGCAGTGATTGACCAGTTACCTTCTATCCAATGCTTTTCATCAGTTATAAAGCAGAGAAGATACTCAAGCTAAACGTGACTTAAGGTGTCTCTAGAACAGTTAACTCATCCATTAATCGAGCCCTGGGATGAGCCATCGCTTAATGTCCAGCTCCTGTATTTGGGGAGCTCAACCTAGTCAAATGTCTCAAGCTTGCAACATTACTTCTTTCTTTATGAGGCTTTATTAGATCGTTCCTATTGACTCGTAATGCCTTCGTTTATTTGATCAGATTCCTGCTAGTGATTGATACCAGATTTTAGGGTATCATCAGTGATGATTTGGAAAGAGAAAGAAAAAGTGTAGTGTTTTAGTGGTCGTAATACTAGTGCTAATATTGTAGTTGTAGGATAGATGTGTTGTGGCGAGATTACAATTGTGTTTGGATTAGTGTAGAGAATGGCAATTGGGATCTTGGTGGTGCGGGGTTGTGGGTGGTGGTTGTGGTGGTGCAGGGCCTTTGGGACTGGGGAGGCTATCGGGTTTCGGTGGTGGTGTGTGGCTTACAACAAGGATATCCTTCTTCGAGACAGAGATATCCTCAATTGGAATAGGGACATCCAATCGTGTTAAAAAAAATTTCATTCAAAAAACAGAACATCCTTGGTTGGCAATTGGATCATCGTGATGGTCATGTGAGAGGCTCCTGTTTTCAATTTGAATGGAGGTTTAATAGAATTTTAGCATGTAAAGTAATCAAACTTGCAAGTATTGGTGGCCCATGTAAAATTTAAAAAATTTTAGGGGTAAAAGTATCATTCTCACAAAAAAAAAAATCTCAAGCTGCCTTTGAATTTATTTAAATAGTCTTTATGATTGTCACGTTTGAATTACCAATAAGACTTGATAATGAATGAAATTTATCATCAACCCAATAATATAATTCATTATATTCTCCAACTATGTCCTAATAATATTAGTGATTTTTTTCCCCCAAACACCCATTTCACATCTATGAAACAAATTCCCTGACCTTTAGTAAGGCTCATCTTAATTTTCACAAGAATTCGAGGATATTGTAATGTCTTTTTAAATGGTCAAGATATATCTAAATCTATATATTCAATTGGCTAAGAATTCTTCGATTTTTGTAAAATTAGAAAAAAGAGCTTAATTTTTCAATTATATGCATTCCACGTTTCTCTTTCCTTCGTTTTACTTTCTCTTTTCCATTCTGAAACTCTATACAACCACCACCACCGCTATCATCACTATCATTATACCATGAATTCCGTCATTTTTCTCAAACAGGATTTCTTTCTCTTTTCTCTCTCTCTCTCTCACACACACATACATACCCACAGGCATGTGCTTAAGCTGGAAGGAATAATATAGTTTCAAAAACTGTGATCGCATCTCTTAAAACTATTAGATAAAAGTGGGGAGTCAATGTAATTCTCCATTAATATCTCATCGTGGGGTATAGTTTTGAGTAATGCCAGAGTGTCGGTGAGATATCATACATACAGAGGTAGGTAGTGCGTAGTGGTGGAAACGTGATTTTGCCAGGTATGAGGGTCCCACACAAACATCCTTGAATACAGACGAATTTGTTGGGATCAGTGAAGTGTCCAGTTATAACTTTAAGGTTCTCGATATTGAAGATTATTGACCTACGCACCTCGAGCTAGGGATCGTAAGCTGCTAGACCTAGCTTAGATGTTCGAGCGGAGAGGTCCGAACTTAACTGTTACTAATTTTTGGTATCATCAATAACCTTTTAGAAGAAAAAAAATTTGAAAATGATATGATCTATTAATATAAATTAGCACAATTAGTTATGCAACAATTTGAAATTAATAACTGAATAAAGCATACGACAAAATATAGTTATCAAGTCATTCCATTAACTTAAATGGAAATTTAAATCCTTATTTTAGAATTTTAAAAACTCTCTCGAGTTCAATTCTTTTCTCCAAAGAAAGAATCGTAAAGGCTTACCATCCAACTTAGTATCTATTAATCAAGACATTAGTCCTATTCTAATGGCTTAAGCCCTCTATAATGGAGTGACATGTTGAAGGCTCGAAAAAAGCTTAGTATCTATTAATCAAGTTTTCTTGAAGGAGCGACTGTCATTGCAATTAAAAAAATTAGATAAAGATTTTGAGCCAAACCTGTCTTCAATAATTGATGTGAAAACCTTGTCTTTAATAATTGATGTGATAAGATAAAGCTTAGTATCTCTTCAATAATTGATGTGAAAACCTTGAGAAAAAAACTGAGTTAGACATGAAATAGAGATTGAATTTTGGTTTTTTTTTCGAGTGAGAACAGATAGACAAATGAACAGATAACTCTTATGATCACATTAGTCCCCCACCTACAAGAAAATTCTTCTATAAAGGCCTTAACGGGAAGAACCTACAACTGCAAGTGTTCTTAAAAGATCTAGCTCTACCTAATTGTCAAAAGCAATTCAACAGTCTAATCCTCGTGAATTAAACTTAAAGCAAATTTCTTCCAGAGCTCAAGGAACACCCTTCTTAGGGACTTATAATCCCCTAGACCACATAACTTGATGATCATAAAGATTAGAGATAGAAGACTTAGGTAGGACTTAGGAGAGAGAAATAAAATATTGAAGAGAAGTAGTTGTTTTCTTTTGGGGGTTTTAGTGGTAGACTTCCACCATCTAGAAAAGCACATGGCCGTAGAGATAATAAAACCCGAATGTTAATGAGTGATGATGGTGTCTTCTGCAGAGTTGAGCAAAGTCGTATTATTTAGGGGGTAGAAAATCAC